CTTCTGCAATTCTGTTTCGGGATTCTCTTTCAGAGGCAGGTTCAAAAATACATTGATCAAATTTGAACTCAGTTCCCCGTGCTTATTTTACTTCTGAAGTTGCATCAGGAAAGTAAACTTTGCCTGAGATTTATCTCTATACTCAGCGGTTCCATGGCAATTTGAATATTCCATTCACTGAGCCTAAATGTTTCTGGTCTAAATGCAAGAGGACACTTGCTATATTTTCAAAAGTTACACAGAAGGGGAAGGTTTGATGTGTTTTTCCTGTTCTATCACTGCAGATATCTGTGCTTTTTAAAGTCGGTATTAATGTAAGCGGCCCAGAAACTTGGATAGTAACAAACTCTTCTAGGTGGAGCATAGGCGATACGCTTCAAGAGTGATCAAATTCCAGTTCTCAGCCAACAATTCTTGAGAGGTGATAGAAATTGCAGGAAAAAAGTGTTAACAGTTGCACTTTCCGGTTCTAGGGCCGCCAACTTTCTCAACCTAGTATTCTCCATGTGTGTGACTACAACGCTCATCATCTTCACAATCTAGTTGTTCCTGAGAAATTCCACAGTGCGTATTTCAGCACGTTTCCAGAGAGCTCTGAACTTAGAGGGGGCAATCTTACATTTCACCCCTCTAACCTCCAAGGCTGTCTCCCCAAGCCTACTCTGACACCAAAAACTAACATGGGCAGATCCAGAAAGGGGAAGGGCAGAACGAAAGGGGCTTTGGACTTCCCAGTCCTCTATCATGAAAACTGAGACCTATTCAAAATGGGAAACTTTTTCCTTGGACCAAAAGTCAACAGAACAGAAGCAGCAGTACTTCCCCTCTGCTGGATTTGAAGAGCTCCAACAAAACCATAGTGGACCGGGGGATGCCTCCCTTTGGCACTAGCCTATTCTAAAGTTTATTTGCTGAGAATCTGGAGCAGGGTGTGAGAGAAAGGGAGATTTTCCTAAATTCCTCTGGGTTGGAGCAAAAATGTTCAAGCTGCTAAGGCCGTGTTTTCTCAACCTTGGCAACTTTAAGATGCGTGGACTTCAACTCCCAGAATTCCCCAGCCAGCAGGGCTGGCTGGGGAATT